CAAATTAAAGTTCTATGATAATTTTAGGATTATAAGGATAACAAATTTGTTGGAGATTTATTTATATAATTTAATGTTCTACAACTGGACTTGTTACCAATAAGATATAAAGTTTGTTATTTTTTTACACTGGGGTGCAACTTAAATGTATTTTTAAGTTAATGAGAGCCTAATGTATGTAAAGGTTAATTTTGTAAAACACAAAAGCATTTTGCTACTTTTCCACAAAAGGTTAAAAGCGCTCAGCCTTTATTTAATTCATGTTTTAAATAGTTAGCTAATGTTCATTTGAACTCATGCAACAATATATGTAAACTTTGTAAAATTATATTTAAGAAGCAAAGATCAGCTTCAGATCTAAAACACTTCACCTAAGATTTATAAAGAGCCCCACCTTACCTGAGATAAGGGTCTACCTCCCATCTTACTACATTATCAGAATGACTCCAAAGTAGGCCATAATTCAGTTCATTTAACATTATGTTCAAAAGATTGATTTTTAGTTGTTAATATTACTAGGATCTCAAACAGGGGGTATAATATATAACTCAGTCAAAATTCAAGATAGTTATCTCACAAACTAAATATGTTTTTAGTCTTATTAATTTTATTTTAAATTTTCCTTATAAACTGTCTAAAGGTTGCCTGTTAATGTATTGCCTTTGCAGAGGTATTGCCTTAAGAACACACAACCTGGGTTAATTTAATATAAGCCGTCACCTACAGGACAGATAGGATAGTGCAGACCCCAATGAATAAAAAGGGTAAATGACTATAAGGTTATACACATTAAAGCCCAGTACACTTAATTTAAGACTGGAAAGACTTATTTGCTAGATGTTTAAGATAAAGTCTTAAAAATTAAAGTTAAATTAAAAGGGCCAAGAAAACCAATATTTGGCTCTTGCCCTCTGAGTCAGTCTGAATCCAGGGAACAGGGAACTTCTCTAAAGAGTTTTACAACTCTGGGACACATAACCTCCTGATCAGGGAGATTAATGAGACTCCTAGAGAACAGAATCAGTGCACTTGCTATGAAAAGGAGGGTTATTGGAGAACTAAGACATCCCTGATGCTTTCAAGGGAAGTCACATGGTCAAGCAAGACCTGGACCAAACCTAGTGCAAATGGCACTAGCAGAACTGAGAAGCTGCTCTCAAGTTCTCCCAAGAGTGACTCCCATGGAAACAATAGATAGAAACAAAAATCAGTTTGACCTGCTTCATCTTAAACACCTAGCAAAAACAGTTAAAACAAAAACACAGCCATTCCTGGGCATTTAAAAAAACCAATAGTTAATTATAACTTAAGATAAACATTTGTGTTGCTCCCCCCAAAATAAGTAAGACTGGAGGCTACAAAAGAGAGATTCTTAGGAAGGAATTCTTAATAACTACCAAGTGAAACTGACAAGTCAGAAGTTTTTAGTCAGTTTAAGGTCTACAGATCTTCCTAACCCCCTACACAGGTAGAATTAATGTTTACTAACATGATTACCTAGCCCTAAGTAGCAGAAATAAAGGAATCTTTACTTGACACAGAGGTCATTCCAGTAGAAAGGTTTTAAAAGATCAGTTGACATTAAGTAGTTTAACTATATCTTATGGGGATGGACATTGGTAACATGTTAATGTTGTGTTTATATTCCTGATAACTCTGGAGATGTTAAAGATTTACATTCCAAAATAAAGGCCTTGTCCACTCTGATCTTATTATGGGGACAACTTCTCAGCCCTCACACCTCCTGGTGAGAGATTATTGACTGCTATCATCTTCATGGTATAAATTGGCATGTCCCAGATGCTGCAACATTTATTCAGTACTCATGTTTGTTGTTTCTCTCTCATAGAAGCACCCATTCCAAGATAACTTTACAACCTGTTCTCCCCCAACCAGACTTCAATTGAAGTTAACTTCTAAAAGGGAACTCCAAATTTGCTTGTCTCACCTCACATTGCCCCCTCCCAGCTCCAAAGCAGCCAGAGTGATCATTTCCTTACAGCAGTAAGGAGTTCCTAAAATTAGAGGGGAGAATGAAGCCAGAATTAGACAGGCAATCAGTATAGATAGATAAATCAAGTCAGGTCCACATCAAAGAGGCCAATTTTTAGTGAGTCTGGCAAGTTGGAGACTGTTCCCTGAGGGATTGAAATGTTAATTCCTTCAGAGCCCTTCTTCCAGAGCCCTTCCTCCACCTTTATCAAGAACATCCTCCTGCTCCAACCTGTTGCTAAGGTAACCTGTCCCAGGAATTACCCCTTCCTATAGGGAGCTATAAGGTTGTTGATTAATGTGTCCTGGGCTGCTCCATCCTGCCCTTCCCCCTTCAGCTCACCTGTTTTCCACCTTTTGGCCAACCAACTGAGCATTTCCTAAGCCTAGTCAAATGCCTAGTTACCTACTCAGGAAGAAGAAAGATAAGTGGAAGAGGGCAGGAGAAGAAAGGAAACCTAGGACATATAAAAAAGAGCAGAACTCTTTGCTTCTTGGGATACCAGGATACCAGCTATGGCCCCCTTCTCCCTCTAGGGAGAAGTCTATGTTACCCCTTTTCAAATAAACC